CTTGTTTTGAAGAGAACTGAACATTAGCAGCAATGCTACATATCTTTTTCAAGTATCTTTTCTAAAGTATAACATTAATATCTTCTTCCTCACACATGAAGAGACTTGTGAGTTCCTCTATTATTGCAAAAGGTTGTTTTGGCTTAGAGGTAGTTGCAGGTACTTTTCTTGTACCTTTTTGTGCCTTTGCATTTTTGTGTGAGATGTGACCATAACAAAAGTCTTGTGTATTGGGTCTCCTTTGCAATTAATTAAAAAATACTTTTGAGTCTTCCCCTTGGCAGGGGAAGGTAATCCTTGGTAAGGATTATAGAAAAATACTGTATGTTTTAAGCTTGAAAACTGATTTTCTTTTTACAGATACTCCTTCTTAACTGAGAAAATCTCCAATAAGAGAAGGTTTTTCTGAGTGTGCTTTTTCTATTTTTGTATCTCAGGATAGTTTGAACTTTCTTTCCAAAACAATAAACATTTGTTTGTAGTACTTCTACTCTTGAGTATATTAGGTGGAATAGATAGGACTGTATCTTAAAAGTGACATTCAAGTGTCTGTTGAAATAAACCAATCTATCCTTAACAGATCAGAGCATTTAACTAGTTAGGTTTTTTGCATAATTTAAAGTATTTAATATTGAAGAGTCAATGTTCTGAACAGTTATTGTCTCTTTAGAGTGATGAAGTGTATGTGCAGAAGTCAACACACAGCAGGATCAGAAATGGGACTTTGACTCCCTGTGAATTGCTTTTTGCACTGGATCGTGTTTCTCTAATGCAATCATGTACTCTTGACAGAATGTCATATTAAGCAAAACTGGTCTAATGTAATCAAAATGCAATTAGTATTTTAGATAGCTTGTTAAAAGTTTTATTAACCAAGTTCTGCATAGTGTTAATATCATATCTTTATATATAAGGATGTACGCAGTTTTAAGAGCTATCGAGTTTCTGCTGTACAAAGAATAACACGTCGTAGTTATCTGCTTGTTCACTCAAGCATATTCATAATTATGATAATTGTGATTATTTTAGGTAAATAAGTCTCTCAAATTATCTACTTTGCCTTCCTGTTTTTTATTTTATTTAGAGACTAAGCTCTTAAACTTGTGTATAATTGTATTTACATGGTTTCAGTTGCCATCATGGTATCGCCTCTGCTGAGGTGAGGCGCACATTAGCTTTTTTCCTTTCTTTTAAATCTAATATTCTCAACAACCTACTCGTCTTGGCATTTAAATTTTGCTAGTCATGGTGGTGCTTTTCAGGTATTCTTTTAGCAATGTTTTTAAACAGAAGTAAAATTTGTTTTTTTCAAGTAATTGAGAAATTAGTTTTACTTATTTTTTCAATGTGAAAATTACTTTTGTGTTGTTTTGGGGTTTGTTTGTTTGTTTTAAATTATATTATTTCCCCTGGTTCTATAATGTTGCAGTGACAGTTCACAACTGGTAAAGATACCTTCTGACAGATCTCGGTCATTGTTTTACTGATTTATCTCATCCAATTGCATTCCATTCTTTCTTTCATCTATCCAGCTTATGTTTTTATTTTATCCTTTAATTCTCTCTTCCCATTTGTGTGTTTCTTTTCTTTAGAAGTCTCCTGTGCGCATCCCTGCTAAGAAGTCACTTAACACATGGCGAAAAATCATATTTCTATTCAAATACTGTATGCAATAATATAAATCTAGATGTATATTTCTCACATCTCTATGTATCTAAAGTATAGCTTTTCTGGAGTAATTGCTCAGAAGTGGACATGTCTGAAAAAAATACATTTTTTGCTTAGAATTTTCTGATATACATTTCATTTAATGTTTACATTTATGCTGTGATTATAGCATGATTGTGGGTTTTACTTACTTACAGATTCACTCTTGAACTTTGTTTTGAAGTGTCACTAGATGATGCTTTACCAACTGCAATCTGAAAAATACTGAAGTTAAAGATGAATGAAAACACTCCCTTAAATCACCTTTTTTTCCTGACTGCAGATAGTAGTTTATATCAAAAAACATCAGTAGATGATGTGATAAGATGTGACCATAGCTGTAATTGCATCAGTAGAATTATACAGAATTTTTAACAAATATAAAATGGTGTTGTTTTGCAGATGCTTATAAACAGAATATTAGATCAGCAGCCATTTATAAAAAGGCTGTTATTTTATTCAGGGCACTCTCCACATGATTTATAGTAGGAGAGAGAGATAGACAACAATTCATTGTACTGTGCATTCTTGCCTTTGTTAGAGAGCCTAAACAATCTTTATTTTTTAGCATTGTGAAAGCATTTGCTTGGTGGTAAATGTATGATGGAAGAGAGGTTTTGGTTCAGACCTCTGTCTTAGGAACATCTGTACGGCACTGCACAATTGAACTTTATTCTTCCTATGTGTTTCTCCCAAAATTGATTATTTATCAGTTTGACATTGAATTAGCATCATGTAGTATCAAGTAGCTAAAATAACAGGGCCTTGTATTATTTAAACAAAAAAGATTGAAGATTGAAATATTGAAGTTGAATATAACTATAATTTAAATGTCCCAGTCCCCACAAGTATTTTATTCTAAAGAATATGTAATACCCACTGATGTCTGTTATGATCTGTTATTGAGTTGGTGTAACAGGAGCTCTGGAAGTGAGTTATTTCAGTGTTGGTTCTCTGTATCATTTCTAGGCATACTGATGATTAAATTAATGGAAGTGTAGTAACACTTCTTATTAAATCTTAATTAAATTTGGTCAAATTTTACTAGATGGTTTCGACCTATGAATGTACTACTGATAAATAACTGTGCTGACTGCCTGTAATTTCTAAGATGTACTGATTTTTATTTTTTTTTTTTAATCTGGTATTTGAATAGTGTTCCAACATTCCTCATCATAGCAATTAATGAGTAACATTTTTAGTATGAATGTTCCATTATGGCTAATTGTGCAAATAGTGAGACAGCTGCATTTTCTGTACAGCTATTGGTAAAAATCAGAGTATTTCTCTACAGCTTGATAGGTACCAATACTTTGGTTTTTATTTCTCTTTTGAAGTATACTGTAATAACAACTGTTATAAAGAATTTCCAATAGCTCATCTGTCAGGCGTGTTTTGTTTTGTGTTTTGTTGGGTTCATGTGGGATTTTTTTCCATAAGTGCCGCTAGAGTTTATATCAGGATATTCTTTGTCAGTTTGAGAGAGTTTTTGTTAGCTATTGCATAGAATTTATTTCAGTCCTTTTTTCCGTCTTCCTCCTAGCATCAAATTTCTGCAAACTCCTAACAGTTTTGCCTCTTTCTGTAACGTGCTGTTATATTCATTTTCAAAGCGCACTTAGCGGGCTTCACTGTCCACAACTCGCAACTTTTGACATGAAGCAGTTTTTACTAGACTGTTGCTTCTTAGCATGTTTCTTTTGGTTTCCACTCTAGGCTCATCCATGTATTTCTTCAGCAAGAATTTACGTATCTGGTGTTACCTTTAAATGTAACCCACATTTCCTACTCCCCTTCCTCAGGAGGACATTAGGAAAAATTTCTTCACCGAAAGGGTTGTCAAGCTGGAACAGGCTGCCCAGGGAAGTGGTTGAGTCACCATCCCTGGAGGTACTTAAAAGATGGGTAGATGTGGTGCTTAGGGACATGGTTTAGTAGTGGACTTGGCAGTGTTAGGTTAACGGTTGGACTCAATGATCTTAAAGGTCTTTTCCAACCTAAACGATTCTATGATTCTATACTGCATCTCTGATGCCTGTTCTTCATCAGTAAGTGCAACATGATGGCAATTGAATGCTTAATATTTCTGTCAAAATAATTTTGATTCAGTTTTTCTTGTTGTTTCGTGTCCTCATCTTTGTCCTTTTTTTCCAGACTATGTTTAACTTTTTCTTTTCTTCGTAATAGTGTTGTGATGTTTCCTTTGCTTTCTGTTATGTATGATGATGCTTTCCTTTGCTGTCTGTAAAGTTCAGCTAATATTCTTAGAACTGAAGTTAGCTTAAGAATTGTTAAAAAGTAAACATTTGGATAGTAGTATATGAAGTAAAAAATGTATAAAATTTGCAGCAACTTCTGTTGATAGTACACAAACAGGGATGAAATTCAACTCGGCCTTTTACTTACAAAGTTCTTGAAATTATAGGACCTTAAGACAAGCAATAGCTATCCTCTGTGCACTACAACTAGTTGCACAATGTTTCTACTCTGCAAAGTATACTAGGTAATCAATTACATTTTGCATTAAAATAGGTTGGAACGTACATTTGAAAAATTCGAATTACATCAAAACTACAGGAAACAAGATTCTTAGACATTAGCATTAACATTCTTTTCATTTAGTTTGGTAGATGATACCTGTCTACCAGTAGACTTCGTTTATGTTGGAAGCAAGTTCTTCATTAGTATGTGTGAAAAAATTATTATGATTGAGTTTGCAGGAAACTTAAACGTGAAACATTGGATTTATCTAATTAATTTGTTCTTTCAGATCCTCCGACCACCAGTGTAAACAAACCCCAAGTGTCAGAGAGTGTTAATACCAATGCCTATGACATTAGGACAGAACCAGAACAAGGCAACCTCTACTCACCAGAACAGACATCTCTCCATGAAAGTGAGGGTCTGTTGTGTGCATTTTAAATATTAGAATATATTTCTGTATTGAGTGTATAAAAATGTAATACAATTATGAATGCAACAAATAACAAAGTTATATAATATTTTATTTTTGTGAAGTTGTTCGATGCTTTTATTCTTATGCTGGCTTCATATCTACAGGGTCTGTAGGTAACTCAAGAAGTTCAACACAAATGAATTCTTATTCTGACAGTGGTTACCAGGAAGTAAGCAGTTTCCATAACAGCCAAAACTTGAGCAAATCAGAAAACAGACAGCAGCATTCCCTTATTGGAACCACTGATAACCATCTGGTGAGAAGCTCGCGAGCTGAAGGGCAGACATCAGTCCAGGTATGCTCAAAATAGTACATTTCATCTCTATCTGTACACTGTCTGTAACTCAGTTTTAAAGACAGTAATTGTATAGCTGGACCTAGCTTTGTATAGGCTGGAATTAATGTTATTAAATTACACTTTTATTTCACACCTTCACTGGTTAAGAAACAGAAATGGCTTGCAGCAGACACAGCTTGTTTGCTGAAATCAGCATGCATGTGATCTGGTTCATTCACTGCAGCTGAAATTAAGTAAAACTTCTGAGGACTCCTGACTGCAGAGTACACTGCTAATATAATATCAACAAAGTATTACTCACTTAAAATTCAGTTGTGATATTGGGGAAAATCTCCTAGGATTTAGCCTGTATGTAAACATAGTGCTTAAAGGAAGATGGTATTTGTGTTCCTGTACCTTCTACTGTTTCTAGCTTTTTTTCCCCTCCTTTTTCATTACTCAGAATGATAGTAAGACAGTAACTGACAAAACTTTATTAGCTTATACCAGAACTCTTTGCATTACTGTTGCTGAATTTCCAAAGTGGTAGAGTAGTGAGGAAGGAAAGCATAGGTGCGTATTAACGTAGAAAGCCAAATAAGAATGAGGATCAGATGTTTTTTTAATGTTAAATTGCCATTTTATATATTAAGAAATACTGGTTAGAAAAAAGTTATCTTATAGGAAAATCTGAAGGAATTACATTTAGGGTAAAAGCTACTCTTCAGCTGCTTTTATATATTGTTAAATTGTGTGCATTTCTTGTTGACTTCTCTGTCTTATGGGAGAAAAGTATCCACTACATGGCCTAAATGATAAAATTAAAAATGTTTTTGTTTTCAAACAGCCTTCAGTAAGTATTGCTACCAACCGAGTCATGAGACGTGTCAGTTCAGTCCCATCCAGAGCACAGTCTCCCTCTTACATGGTCAGCACAGGTGTTTCCCCTTCGAGGGGGTCGCTGCGAACGTCCCTGGGTAGCGGGTATGGTTCTCCATCGGTTACTGAGCAACGATCCCTTACTTCTCATGCGTATGCATCCACTACTCTGCCAGTACAGCGGGCAGCATCCCCATATGCTGCACAGAGATCTTCCTCCCCAACGGCCGTGCGGCGGATCGGATCGGTTACATCCAGACAGACGGCAAATCCCAATGGCGGGACTTCCCAATACCAAACATCAGTCAGAGTTGGCTCTCCTCTTGCCCTTACTGATGTACAAACCAGAGTAGCTTCTCCATCCCAAACTCAGCTGGGATCTTCTTCCCCAAAACGTTCTGGCATGACTGCAGTTCCACAGCATTTGGGAACAACACTGCAAAGAACAATTCATGATGTTGAACAATATGGACAACAGTATGATATATATGAGAGAATGGTCCCTCCACGTCCAGATAGCCTTACAGGTTAGTAAAAAGGTAAAGACGCAGCTTAAAACTCGGTACAAACCGACAACTGCAGAAAACCCGTAATGCAATAGTCGTTTTGTGGATGAAACGTTGTAGCGCTAGGACATAATTCTGGTGGATGTATCAAATCAGTTGTAAATACTGATGTCAAACACTATGTATCAATCATACCATAAGTTCCCTGTGAATACTGTCTTTCTCTTAAATTACTAGATTGCTAGCCATGCATTAAATTAAATAATATGTTTTAAGTAGCTAAGTGAAATTCTGAGTCTTCCAAACAGAGGCATTTCAGTATTTTCGAAGAGGAAGTACATTTAAATGTATGTGCAGGTTATACACAAAGTAAAATATACTAGGCTGGAACTAGTTTTATGTCTAGTTCTTTCTTAAAATATGTAACTTGGTACCACTGAATTTTAGACTTTTTCCTTAATATTTCTAGGCTATCTCAAAGTACTTCAACTTAAATATAGGGTAACCATTGTAATATTAGCTTAAAATAAAGCCCTAAAAGGTAGAATCTATTCATATGAGAGGCAGTCCTGATTAAGGTGCAGTTTACATTTTAAGTTCTGTGTGTGTTACTGGGTTTTTTCTGATCTTCATTTAAATGAGCACAGACAAGGTGATTTTGCAGTTAGACCATATGCTCTTTTGAACAGACTGCAATGTCTGTTTTTTCTTTTAAACTATTATACGACAGGAAATCCCAAAACATTCTCATTCCTCAGCAAAAGGTGTAAGGTGTCTTCTCCCTCACCCCTGTTTGCAAGACATAGTAATTTGCCAGTTTGATGGGAGGGGGCGGGGGGGCAGAAATCAGTTTGATGTGAAAGACTATTCAGTAGTTTAAATGAAAGCAGTCCAGTGGGCTGCATAATTTGTGATGTAACAGAAATCTTGTACTCTTAAAATATTATTAAGGTAGTTTACAAATACTACTGCTTGAGAATATCACCTTGTCTAAACAGGTGAACTGATCCATCTTCAGAAAAAAGGAGTTATTGGGACAGTGAATCAGTAATTCAGAACAGATGGTTTAAATTTCATGCTTTTAGTATTAAGGAAGTAATTTGCAACTGTGGTAGTCGAGCTTAGAGAGCATCTTATTTTATAGCCATCTCCACTGTAATCTTTCCAGGAAACTTGAAATGGTATGACTTTCCTGTGCTCTTTGATACAAACTACGAGTAAGAATCCCTCAGTATTATAAAAAACCTCTTACATTTTCTAGTATAAATTAGTTTTCGTGTTTCTTTAGAGGGAATAGTTTAGTATAACACCTGAAATCTTAAACTCAAATTTGTGTATGATCAGTTTTCTGAGAGGAATTTTGGATGCGGGGGAAGGTTAGTACTGTAGCAGCCTTTGGTATAATCCGGAACCCTTCCCTGCTATGTAAGCTGAAGGACAGGATGGATGTATGATCAGGTCCTCTCTTCCTTCTGTGCTTACAGTCTCTAAGAAGGCTATCCGTGTGATGCATGTTCTGGGAAAATGTAATGTCAATGAGTGTCTTCCCAGGAGATAGCATTATCATCAGGGAGGTATAGGTCTGATTGCCTGCTTTGCATTGGACATACGTCCAGTTGCCTGCTTTGCTTTGGTGAAGTCCCTCTGTTTTCACCACCTATGTATGTGTTTTCTTAGTGATGACCTGTGAGACCCCAAAGGTTTCCTTGCAGACACTGTGATAGAGCAAGTCTGTGATTTTCGGGGGAAAAATATTCAAATGCAGAATACATTTGGTTACACATCACTACTTAATTGTATTTTGAAGTTGTTCCGTAATCTCCATCATTTCATTACCTTTGCATAGTTCACTTAGCATATTCTATTGCTTTGGTAGCTGCTAAAGCTTTAGTGCCTACAATGGTAACACCAAAGTGGACAAAACAGTATTAATTTTATAAAATAGTTTAAAAAATATCTTTTAAAACCAAAAATTATGCTGGCTTTATACCCTACTTGAATTTGTGAAAGAACAAAACTGGTGAAATCACAGAATAAATTAAGAATGCCAAGAGCAGAAGGAACTGGAGTGAGTTCAAAAGGGGTAAAGGGGAGATTAGGCCATTACAAGATGCAGTAAAGAAAAGTCAGAGAGTGATGGCAAGGTAAATATCAGAGGCAAAAGGAGAAGTATTGTGTAATTGTTTCAAAAAATAGAAGAGACTGGAATACAGACGTGCAAAATAAAAGCATTTCAAACTTAAAGAGAATTTTCCTGGTAGCGTAATACTCAAAAACAAAGTTGGTGTAGGTAGCAAAAGTGTTATGTAGCAATTATATAATATATAAGTAAACTAAGTTTGAAAATAAATACGGGTTTGGCTTATATTTTATTAAATATGAGCATCTGAGGCTTGTTTAGCATTTAGCTAGCTAAAGGTTCGGCCAAGGAGACTGTCAGTTAGGAGCGTTTAAGGCAGTGAAACAGATGATACAGAAGTGTGGGAGATTAGAGAGGAGTATTGAAATACAGCAATTCTGAAATGCTTCCAAAATACTTTTTTTAAGAGTAGTGGTAGGGGAGAAACTGATGAGTTGCAGAAGAGCTTTTCCTTTGGGTGATGCATCCTGTTAAGTTGCAAAAGCTCTGTACCCTCAGTTCTAAGAGCAGCACAGAAGCTGACAAAACTCAAGTAGGAAATGGCGAAGAACTCTCAGAATTAACTAAATTCTAACTATTTTTCCACTACCCAGTTTAGTATATTAGTGCTTCTCTGAAGACTCTGGAAGTATAACTTATAAAATAGGGGAACTAGGATGCTTTAAATGGAAGTATTAAAAATAGATGAGAAAGTTGGTGAAGGGTAGCTAGTTAGTACACCACCAATACCAGGACGCAAAATTTATATGAAGCATGCATTCGATAGTCAATGGGAGGGGTGGTGCTATATGTCAAAAAATGTTCCAGGGCTGAAAAAGAAGAAATACAGGATTAAGACTGTACCACTAACCTCCTAATCAGGATGGCAACAGTGAACTTAATAGGAGATTGATTGCTAATTCAGTTAGCAAAATAGTAGGGGGGAAGATACATCAATGCTGGTTGCAGAAATACAGTAACACACTGGAATGCACGGAAAGAAATTCTAGGTAATGTGCATGAAGTTTTCACGGAGCAGATAGAGGGAGAACCTTCACAAGGAGAAGCAAGTCTGAACTTGTGCAGTGCTATTCAAGATGCTGTTATTGAAAAGCTGTTCTGCACCTCTGCCAATAATGTACTTGGATCTAGCACTGCAAAAGTGGTAGCAGGAGGTCTACTGCTGAGGAATTGAAGTTAAATGAGACAGATAAGTTAAAAGGAACTCAGGAGGGATAGCTGAAAAGCAAGGTGAAAAAAGAGATTCTTATACAGCTGCAGCATAGCAAAAAAAAAAAAAAAATCATGGGCTATATAAACCTTTATAAAGACTTTTCTCCACATGCTTAAATCTCTGCTGCCACTACCAAGAAGACTTTTGCTCTTACTGCTGCATATTGTTTCATTTTCAGGATTATGACCCCCTTTAGGCTGTGCCCTATTTCACAACTGGATTTCTGTCAGGTTCACAACTTACCTTGTCATTGCTGAATCTGTGAACTGCACATGCTGACTTAGCTTTTACTCTGTATGTTTTAGACTTTCAACTATAAATGCTACCAAAAAAATTGAGTTGGAAAACTTAAAGTTGTCAGTGTATGGACAACACTTTTCATCAAAGAAATGCTGTTTTGCCGATCAATCTTTCAGTATGGATCATTTAATAATGGAAAGAAGTTTAATGAATAAATCTTTATAACTGTACATATAACTAACACCTTTTCTTGGCTAAAAGAAGAAAGAGTCAAGCATGACAGCTTTATTATTTTTAATTGATATGGGCCCTGTACATATTTCCTTCTTCTTGGTTTTAGGCCTGAGGAGTTCATATGCTAGTCAACACAGTCAATTAGGACAAGAATTACGATCAACTGTATCTCCTGACTTGCACATCACCCCTATCTATGAAGGCAGAACTTACTACAGTCCTGTGTACCGTAGTCCAAATCATGGAACAATTGAGCTCCACCAGGGATCCCAGTCAGCATTATATCGAACAGGGTCAGGTGGGTAAAGGGCTTCCAAAGCTCTTCCATTGACTGTGTCCCAAAGTCATGCTTAATTTACTTACTGGAGTTTTTCTGAAACCTATGGCGTATAGGAGAACATATATGAGATATGTAATGCCAGTTTAAAAGGAAAAAACTATATGTTATAAATTCATGGAGATAGAAACTAGGTTTGAAGGTTTTTTTTAGCAGGAATTAAAAAGCTTTTGTGATGTTTGCAAGAAATACTTGGGGCAATATATCAGTGTCAGTTTAGGGTCAGAATATTTTCTGTTTGATATCACACAGTCAGGTACATCCAAGCAAAGCGTATTTCATGACACAAAAAATTTATTGCTTCCTCTTGCATTCTCTGTGCATCATTCTCTTACAAATTGAGTTTGTTCTTTTTTTTTTTTTTATTCATCAGTACAGTAAAATGATAGCTTGCACACTTAAATTACCTACTTTCACAGTAAAAATACTGGTTTTACCCAACTTCTCAGCAAAGGATAATGTTAAAATACTATATGTGAAGATCATATATTGAAACTGAAATATTTCTATAGTATTTCATAGAACTGCTACTCGTGAAGTATTAATTATGAAGTGCATAGGCATAGATTAGCATTAGAACTGATTTTCTGTAAAGAGAAATGTAATACATGTTGCAGTGCAGTTTGTTCTTTAAGGTTGATTAATAATTTGTATAGTCGAGTAATTTCCAAAAACTCTCAAAATATTAGAGTGATTTAACTAAGTAACTCTCTAGAAATATTTATAGGAAGTGTCCGATTCATATGTCATGTTTTCACACATTTGAAAATTGCTTTTTAATGTTTTTAATGTAACCGAAATACTAAGAGTATGGAATGTTGAAGGAGGCAACAGGTTTTGCAATTCTCCTGTCTCCTACAACCTAGAGTAAACAAATTAAGTTTGTCAGGATGAGGAAATATAACTAGAAATTGGAATTCTCTGTTTAGTTGTCTGCCTAATATCACTTACTTTGAAAGAACAAAAGCTAGCACAACAGCTATGTTAAGTCAGGAAGATACATGTTCCTGTTTCTGAAATGATCAGTTTAATCTTTGCAATCATTCTCTTGTTAGCTTTTTGTCAGGGAAAATGTACATGTAGTTGAGAAAAGGAAAATATCATATAAACTATATAAATTTTTTTTTACTTATTTTTCCTTTTCCTTTTTAGTACAGTTGGCAATTGATGTTACTGTTAGTAATTGAATTTTATTATAAACCTTGAAAACATTTTGCATCCTGATTTCTGCTTGATGGCACAAGATGCATTTCTTATTTTAAATACTTGTTGAGGCAAGCTGAGGCATAAGCCTGATTCCACCAAACCTTTAGTTCTGTAACTAACCTCTCTATCTTCCCTGGGACATTGAATAATTGCTCCCTTAAACCTGGCGATAGCTTTCAACATTGAGCACGGTACACGTTTTTAAGACTGGGTTTTTTGGTGGTTTTTTTTTTTTTTGCTTACACTTTTAACCACATATTGCCTCTTCTCTTCAATAGACGTTTGTTACCTAGTTTGTTTTAATACTGATTTTATACTAGGAGTCGGAAATCTGCAAAGATCATCCAGCCAGCGTAGCACACTCACATACCAAAGAAATAATTATGCTCTGAACACAACAGCTACCTATGCGGAACCCTACAGGTCAATGCAGTATCGACTGTCAGAGTCCAGTTATAACAGGCTGCAACATGCAACACCCGCCGATGATGGGACCACACGATCTCCATCCATAGACAGCATTCAGAAAGACCCCAGGCAAGTCCATTTGTGCTTTCAAGAATTATACATATTTGCTATAATAAGATTTTTAATACATTCCTTGAATATATATGGCACTTTGTTGTGCATATTCCAGTTTTACATTGTTTAAACGATCATGACTGATTTAGATACTAAGATCTATACCTTTATAGCCAAAGTAATAAATGCAGTCCTACTTGTTACAGTAAGAAAGAGTAACTTTTATGCATTTATTTATTATTACATTTTTCTTCCATGTTTATTTTCATGTAGAAGTTATTACAGGAAATACTTGTAAATTTGATGAGAATTGACTGGATAATACCAAATATTTTTGAGTAATTTTACAGAGCAACCTATAATATTGTAGCAAGTTTTCTCTTTATGGGAACGGGAATTGGGGTTTGAAAATTAGAAAGAAGGCTCATAGCATGATTCAGTTATTTTCTAGTTTGGCCCTATCCTTCAGTCTCGAAAATAAAAGCACTGTTTTTAATAGATTTTGTTGTTCTGTTTATTAGTGGAAATTAATGTATTTCTTTTTTTTTAATAGATACTGAGAGACTGGATTAATTTCATTTAACTGAATGGTACATTCATATAAATGATGTTAATAGGATAATCTTACCTCTAAGCAGTAATGCTTGCTAGCTGCATGCTACTGCTGGCCTATTCTGGCATGGCTTACAAGAAAAGTTACTTATAATACGGATGCTTCACATTCATAACAAGGAACTTTAAAGAAATTCTGACTCAGTTTTCATTGCTGATGCACCTCCTTCTCTTGTAATTTCACAGTGGAATAGTTTTTACCTTACATTTTAATCTTTCTCCGTTTCTGATTTGCATATCATGCTATTGCAGAGGTTAGATTAGTGTATTACAATAGCCTCCGACTGGGCTATTTGAAAGCATCACTTTAGGATTAAGAGTGAGGGAGCATTCAGAAAGCTACTAGTTTTATTAGAAAGGCAGTTTTCCCTAAGGTTTTCCTATCATTAGTATGGAGAAACAAACCTCTTAAGTTGTTGAGCAGTTCAAAGTAGGCACATAACTGAACTTTCCCTTTTTGGTGACTGTAGGAATCCTGGGGAGACCCGACTGGCCAGGCTAGCATTAGCCTTTGAATAGCTCCCCAAATACTATTCTTGGAACATGGTTTGTTTTTTTTTTTAAATTTACTTGGATTTTTGAGCATGGGAAAACTTAGATACTCCTCTTTTTTTTTTTTTTTTTTTTCTTTCTTCTTCTCAATCTTCCTTTACAGAAGGAAGGTAGCCCAGCAAATATTAATGAGTATATTTCTAAATATATGGATATGGGCATGGATATGTTTAATGACTTTCCCAGGATTTGTCTGCGCAAAATCATTTTGTTTAATGAAGGAGATTTGATTTGAATGATTTTAAGTTTACAATCCCTGACTAACTCAAATTATGCAAACTTCCTGCATCTGATCATGATGATGAAATTTCAGGCTGCGCAGCTTTTGTTGAAGTATAATTGACTTACTAGGAAGAACATTGAGCACTGAGGAAAAAAATGTTGTGTGGAGAGATATCCCTGAGCAGCATTATTAAGTGGGCATCTGTTGCATTATATATTTAAGTTTTGGGAGATTTATGTAGGTTGCAGTGTTTGAGTTGGTATAATTTTAGTATATATATGTTTGTGTGATCAACAACCAAGCTAACTGAAGAACATAGGATATAAAGTGTCCTTTTCCAACTGGAAGACTAAAAGGTGATGTGACTCATAGTTACTCTAATATACCTGTTTTTCCTCCTAGCCCTGATACTCCAGAACAAAAACAGAATTGTTGAAAAACACTTAAGATGCTCTAGTAATTCTACTTAGTAAATGAACATACATTTATAACTAATGCCTTCTCTTGAATGTGTTCATCTGATGAAGGGAGTTTGCTTGGCGAGATCCAGAGCTGCCTGAAGTCATTCACATGCTTCAACACCAATTCCCGTCAGTTCAGGCAAATGCAGCTGCCTACCTTCAGCACCTGTGCTTCGGAGATAACAAAGTAAAAATGGAGGTACTGTACTGAGTGTGTTTCTGTTTCTGGGAAAACTGTAAAAGAAAAACTAGACAACTAGACCTCTTGCCTCTTTGGTTTTTTTCATCATAACACAGTATCTCATACCCTTTTTTGTTTCCCTGTTTAGATGTATGATAATATCGAAGTACCTAGGTGTGTGTAATTACACACACACACACACACACACACACACACACAGATTTTTTCCTGTCATAAGAGGCTGCATGGAAATTATATGAAAATATTTTACATTCAAGTTGTGTATACCAGAGCCTGTTTTTGTGTAACCTGTTGATGACTGGAGACTAAGAAAAACAAGAATTCTGGAAGGCTTTCCACTGGTTTTGATCAAGATATTTTAAGGCATCGTAGGGAATGAGTGGGCTGTCAAGCAAAGGAAAGAAATCCAACCCTAGAAATATATAGAGGATAGTATTTATGTCAGTATGATGTGGAGGAAGGATACATCTGAGTGAAAATTCAGATTATTGTTGAAATTTCTAGAAACTTTGCATTTGAAGAGCTGCTCTTTTTGCAGAGCAGCTATGAGCTATTGATCTGAAGGAATTTGCTTTTTCATTCATATCATATATGTGTGTGTCATCTGTTATTTTCAGTATAAATATTAATTATGTTAATAAAATGTTGGTGCAACTTTTATAAGAAGATAGCCCAACATAATTCACTGTTGCTGGGAGGCAGATGAAAAGATGGTGGTGGTTTTGATGTTCTGGTAAAGATCACGGTGATAATCAGATGTAGACAGATTTATAAGGTAGTCTTGCCATTTTGCTTATTTAGGAATTCTTGGCATATTATTTGTCTGCACATGTTCATCTATAGGAGATACTGTGTTTCTTCACTGTTTCCATTTTCATTATTACAGAATTTGTTTTAGAAATTATGGAATGTCTGCTTTAATTTTTTCAGAAGTACCCAAAACTAAAAGAAATATGCCAAAGTTTAATCAGAATTTGAATGTGGTGCTAACTTGTATGTCATGTGTGAAGTGGTGTCTCAATTGTTTACCCTACTTAGCATTACAAATATTTGATATGTTTTTAAATCAGTTCAGGTATAAAGGATTATAGATGTATTATACCATATAATCAAGCTCATAAAACCTTACCCGAAGAAAAAGGTCATCTTTTTGATTTAGAAGACAAGATCAGTTACAGCAGTCAGAGAGACAACTGTAAATGTAGCCTGCCTTCCACTTAGTGTGTGGAATTTTGGAACAGAAAATTTCTCCTTTTCAAACAGAGAAGATTTATGTACTGGCAGTTATTTGTTTTGAATGGGAATAATCAGCTGTTAGAAATTCTTAGAATACTATGACAGAAAGAATGAAATTGTCTGGCTTCTAGGAGAAAAGAATATTCCTGCACTTTTGGGAAAGCGAGCCTTATGTCAGTGTTTCCTGATGAGGCTTTCGGTCTCTTAAGAAGAAGCTGTCCCTCGAGTTGGGATGGTGAGTAGGGATCAGCATGTTTTGAAAACATGATGGTATCTGTGGCAGTAGGAAAGTTGCAATTCATGTTCCCTTCAAAGCACGGGCCAGCACAAGAACCTATTTGGAATAGGAAAGGATCATAATTATTTTAATGCCGAATTCAGTAAAGCCTTATTTGAGGACTGTTTTTGTATTTTCATTCATTATTTAAATTTATTATTTTATTGCTGTGGTAAAGACCAGGTTAATTTGCTGGACTATTAAGGATATTAAAAGCCTAGCAAAATGAACTAGAATGCTTGCATTGCTAAAACCTGAAGGTAAGCATAAGAAACTGCTTATTGGGGGGGGGGAATCTTTACCATTTAAATTAGCTATGAAATGACACAGAATGAATAAATTACACTTCCATGTAATGAATATCTATCTGCAAATACATACAATACTGATATATTAGTTCATTAATGTGTCATTTTACAAGAATTCTGATTTTTTTTTTAATTTAGAAATTGAAATGGCTGTTCAAACTAGCAACAGCTGCTACGTTTTAAAATAGTTAATGACTCAGCAAAATACAAATCTTAAGAATGGATTTCTAGTCCAGTATTATTTTGAATTATATACACAAAAACTGTATCTCATCAAGTTTTGAGTACAGATTGAAAACATGATAAAGCTATTTTGTCATTCATAACTTGTATCTGTGTTATGGATGTGTAGTGTAGATGTAGTGTTTGACGGGCTGTATTGACATACAAGAGGGAGATTTAACTGAAAAGTGTGAATAGTTATTTGTTGCTTCATTATTTAGTAACAGAAATAAGAATTATTTGCCTTGAAAAATAACAACTCTAATATTTTTTTTTTTAATAGCATCCTGCAGTATATGCTTTCAATGTAGTCTGTATCAAATAAGTAATCTGTAAGGTAATATTCATTTCCTACCCACAGAAATCTTGCCGGGTGAATAACTTTAAGCTTAAAGCCCACTGAATGCCTTTAGATACAGATTCCTGGTGGCTTTTGGCATAGTAGTGGCTTGTCTAATTGATCAATGCCAAACTTTGTATCCCCTGGATTTATAACTTACATGGTAGATATATCTAGGTGTGTAAATATAGGTTTCCTTTTGAAAAATACACATTTTAAACAGAGGTCTAAAAAATTTACAAGTCACCAGTCTTTCATTTTATTTCTTTTATTCTACTCAGGAGGTGATTTGACAGGTGAAAATCACATACAGTGTTGATCATAGACCTTGCATTTAAATTGTTTATTTCCAAGCCTCTTCAACTTGGCTGTTTTAAGGTGTAGATAAAGATATTAACCCTTTTGATACCCAATGCAATTTTCAAGAATGTAATAGAGAGAAGATTCTGGTTTTCCAAGTATCAACTTAAAATGATTTGGCTAAATCTCAGTTATGTTTTCATTGAGAATAATTTTATTCTCCTTGTGTTATGGCCAATAAAAGTCATTGAGCTTTTTAAGCCAAAAATCCATGAAAACTTGTACATGTTAATTTATTTCAAATAGCCTTGTTGGCTTGCCAAACTGATTATTTTACAGGGGCCTCTAAAAGTGCTTTTAACGCTGAACTAGAGAATCCTTAGGACTGTTATGTTTTACATCTCTTCTAACTGTTTGGCCCAGAATCACATCCTGTATAAGCAAAGTATTCAGGAGTGATGGTGTATCTCTTTCTTTGCACCATGGGATCTCCTCCTCAGGGCAGCAGCAGTTTAGCTGCTGTAGGTATGGGGTTTTTAAAGAGATCCTATGCCAACTTCATTAGGCATATTCTATGCATAGTATGGCACAAAAGTTATTGTGCTGTGCTGAAATAATACCAGGTTATAATAGATCAATCTTATATTGCAAAATAGCTCATATTTTTAAAAACAGAAAATAGAAAATATTTTGGGTGGTGATTTTTAATTGAAAATTTATGTTAATCTTGTAAGCAATACTACTTAGTTATCTCTTTAAAATATTTTTATTTAGTAAATATTACAGAATTCTAAAATACTTCAATCTTTTATCATTTCTGTAAGTTATTTTGAACAAAGAAAAGTACTACATGGAAATGAGATCTCAAAACACTATTAAATTTTTTTAAAAATATATAACAAAGAATAAATGCAGCTAACCTGCTTAAGGCAAACAATATAAAAATTTCTTCTTGTTTTACGAAATTTCTGCAGAGCAGCCCTTCCTTTTAAAAAGAACTTCAGATATGCCAGTAAGACTGGATATATGCTAATTTGAACTGATTTTTGTGTGTGTGTAGAAGTTGGCATTTAAATCTTTGCAGCTTCTTATTTCTAATACTCCCTAAAAAGATATTCTGAGGTATAGGAAATTACTTTAAAAACTGCATTACTGGGAAACAAAACTTTAGCAGTAACTATTCTTCTCTGAACACAGCAAATGACTGAAAATGTCCATCAGCATTTTCAACAAGGATGTGAGTGGTTCAGAGGAATTTTCAGTACAGTGTAACAATCAAGTTACGTCCTTACCAACAATATTTCGTCTTGAAGTAGAATGGAATGTACTGTTTTTATAAAAATAAAAGCCTTTTAAATCTGTAGAGTGAAATGGGTGAAATCAATGCGGTGCTGATGTTCCCGACGTTCCATTTTCTAGGTGTGTAGGCTAGGAGGAATCAAGCACTTGGTTGATCTCTTGGATCACAGAGTCCTGGAAGTTCAGAAGAATGCTTGCGGTGCACTAAGAAACCTTGTTTACGGAAAGTCTACTGATGAAAACAAAATAGCAATGAAGAATGTTGGTGGGATACCTGCCCTTTTACGATTGTTGAGAAAATCTGTTGATGCCGAAATAAAAGAGCTTGTAACAGGTAAGTTTTGAATAGAAACAAGCTGAGAACTGTAATACAGATTGTTTTTCCGAAGTGGACAAGACTGGAATAACTGGTAAGTGACTAGAATTGAGTATATTGACTGGATTTTTATTTGTGTGTTGGTAGTTTTTGTGAATACAAAATCACTTATTTTGATTACTGACAGTTAAAGTATTAGCATAGAAGTGTAGATTCACTGGGAGAAGTGAATCTTAAGGTAGTTGCACTAAAGCTCCACTAAGGGTAAATTTTCCCCCGGTATGATTCTCCTACATACACAGCTAGGTCTTGGACAGGTATTTCGTTATTGACTCCCAACATTTGTTTTATTACAGGCTTTTTTTAATCATCTGCTGACAACAGTTTTAAATAAGATCTTGAAGAATTGTGTGTTAAAGTACAGACAGAAAATTGGTATGCAAATTACAGAAGCAAGTATGCAAATTACAGAAGCGTCTCAGTGCCCAGCCTGCTAGTAGAGTCATGGCAAGTGACTGTGTACACACTCCTAGTCTCTTGAGTATGAGGTAGCAGATCTACCTTATAACCCATGCACTTACTTGGCACTTGGTGCAGACGGGAAGTTCAGACATGGCAAGTGACTGTGTACACACTCCTAGTCTCTTGAGTATGAGGTAGCAGATCTACCTTATAACCCATGCACTTGGCACTTGGTGCAGACGGAAAGTTCAGAAATAATAAATGATTTGCAGTTCTAACACATGAAGGAACTCCATTTCCATCAAAACAAGGTGGATTTGTTAGGTACTGCATACATCTGCTATCTCTTTTTCTTAATGTAGGAGTGATTTGTCTATGAAGGTTTTAGGGGATTGAAAAATACGAGAGGATAGAAAAAAAGCAGAATGTGTACCTTCTTTAAACAGGTCCTTTTTCAAGTTTTAGTAGCTCCCTCGTTTGATTTTGTTAAGCTACAAAGCTTAACTACTTACCTATTGAGCAAAGCTGCACAACAGCTGCTCAAGTTAGAAGCAACAGAGGTGTCGTACTGGGAGCCTTTCCAAGTTATTTCCTTGTTTAGAAAAGCTATTAAGTAGAGAAAGGACTCTGTACAGAATGTATCCAAAGCATTGAAGTTTAAGTTCATATGCAGGCTATTTTCCTTAAGTATTTTCCACATAAGCAAGCATTAAGATAACCTGCAGCTTTCATGTTTTCTCTAGAAGGATACAATTTTTTCTTTAAGAAGTTATGTAAATGGAATACTTAAAACTAGAATTACACATTAGCTGCCTTGTCTGCTCTACAAAATTCATGTTTTATGCATTTAAATTACTTGTGCTTTTAAGATGTTAGGGATGGTTCCACAGACAAAGCCAAAGTCAAATTATTAATTATAGAAGGTATTTAGTCACTATTAAACAAACAAAAAAAACCCCTACACTGTTATCTTTCAAAAAAGATATAGCACATCATCTGTGAGTAAAAAGATTTTTCAAATAAATATGGTATTTAATTTGAATTAAATAATTAATCTTTAAATAATTAAAGATGACTACTTCAGAAAAAGTGACTCAGTTTTTAACACATGTATTTTTAATTTTTTTTAACCAGCTACAACAAAATGGAAAGTTTTGACCTAATCATCTTCTGGTTAAGTCAGTGGCATTGACTTCTGTTAGAGTTAGACCAATGCTGAACGCTTGAGAAAAATCCACAGCAGACTTTCAGAGCTTAGGGATTTTTAAGTGCTTTCTATAAATAGCAATATAAAGAAAAGAAGTGGAAAAGATCCAATGATTATTTGTTTAATAATTTAAAAACTCCACCTATGTCAGAACTAAAACTAACAAACCACACCCAGTTTACTATGTTTCCAGATTAAGATAATGTAAATACAGAGAAATTAGTATCAATCTACACCACTAGAAACACTGTATGTCTGCTTTCTAGTTTAAAATTAGCACTATTCATTACTGCTATAGTTTATTCATAATTTTTCATATAAAATCGATTTTCCAGTGTAACATTTCTTAATGAAGTGTATAGTGCTTTTCTTTTTCCTGAGGATGGTCTTTCTTCCTTACTAAATAAATTATACTTTCATTATTAACAGTATCAATTGCCTTTGAAAGATAACAGGTATATCTGGTGGCATTGCAAGTGAAATTCATCACGTTTACTTTAATATGCAGTTAGATAGATGAAAACTTCGTTATCCCAGATAAGTGAAATTAGAATAACTTACTTCTTGCGATCTGTATAGATATTTTTCACATGAATTCATTTATATAAAATTTGTGAGGAATCATTTCGTCAAAAGCAATCTTCTAATCTCAGAAATTATTTGGGAACATGTCCTAAAGATTAACTATGATAAGTTTGAGAAGCTAGCATACTGGGGGAGGGTTTAATTGCACAAACATGTTTTATAGGAGTTAGAAAACAGTAGGAGTACTGGGGTCTATATTTAATTAACAGCAACTGAAATGACAAGATTGAAATGCAGAGAGATAAAGAAGTGAAAACTGAATAGAAAGTTACATTAAATAATACAGAAAGCGCAATTGCAAAACCACAAGAATGATTTAAGAGGGAAACCAGTCATCTTTTTAATGGCTATAGATTATTCAGAAAATAAAAGGTGCTAAATCACTTTTCATAATCATTATATGAAAATGAAGTAATAATTTTTTATTTTTAAAAGTTTTTAAAAGTTGGACTTTGGAGTGCATTGGAAGAGGATAACTCTTCACTGAGCTTGCTCCAGCTGTATGCGGTTTCCATTGCTCCTGACCCATGGCAGCCTTCCTGTCCTGTGCTCTGCAGTAAAAGAGCCTTTAGAAGGGAAACTACTCTTTTTTTGGTAACTGCAACACATTTCGTTAGATTTCAGCACCAGTGCGTTCTGGAGGCTACTGTTGTTCACATTCCAGCACAGCTTCAGCACTAGGCAGCAGAAATATTGTTGGGGCCTTGCTGACTGTGTACAAGAGCTCCATTCCCTAGCAAGAGACATGAAGGATGTGCACTGGTTTATGCTGTCTGGATATGTTTTTGCGTTGCAGTCAGCACAGCCTGGAGTCAATCTGTGAATTTCAGGATCTCATAAGGAAGGCTTATTCAGCAGAAAACTGTCTATGAGGTAGAAATGGAAATATGCATATTCTTGAACCCAGGTGCAGTTTCTAACAATTGAGTCTACTTTCAAGAGATTCTCAGAAACAGGCCTTTAATATGTTAAAATGTAAGAAACATTAGTGTACTCCACTACTGCAAGTTTTCCAGAGAAAGCGAGTCAGATGCCTACCTTAATAGAGTAGTTTCTTGATTTTCATCACATCTTCAGCAGCAGAAATGAGCCACAAACCGTGCCCTCCCCAGGGGGTTGGAAGTGACAGCAAGTGACAGTGCTGAACCTGGAGGAGCGGTACGATTTTATAGCTGGAAGGAGGGAAGAATGAGCAGAAATTCCAGCAAGAATTAATCACTAGCTTAGCTGTATGGTAAAGCTCTGTCCTTAAAGGGGAAAGAGGTTGTTCTTGATGGTCCTGGCAATTCTTCATAGTTTTTCTTCAAATTAGTACTACCTCAGCCAGTTCAGTTCAGAAATCCTGTTCTCTGTCCAGCAGCACGATCTTTTCTATACAAAGTGTCATTGTGAGAGATTGCATTCTTGCAGCAGTTGACACTGTACATTGTTGCTTGTGTATTTTTGGAAAAGGGACCCGGTGTTCTGCAGTTCTGGGCAACCTGAGGTGACTTTTGAGAAGGTACAGAAATAGCTTCAAGTCCCACACAATTTTGCAAACTAAGCACTCTGTGAAATGGGTATAGTTTCCTTTCATAACTTTCATGTTAATATAATATTTACCTCAATTCTACTTTGTATACAATCCAAAGTACTTTGTGATCAACTGAGTAAAACCTGCAGAGGTAGCATGTGATCATCCATGTTCAGCAGTGGTCCTCCAAGCTGGTGCAGCTGCTGAAGAACTCTTAATAAACTTGCCACCCGTTTGGTTAACACTACCTGATGTGAGTTGTGGCAGTGGAATTCATTGCATTAAACTTGTCTAGGGTCTTAAAAATCTGGATTAAAATGCCAAGATTCAATACCAAAATACAGCATGAAAAAACACAGCTGGATACAAAGGAGAAACAAAGTTCTTTGCCAGGGTTCCATGAATAGTTGAGCCCCCATAACATGCCAGAGTACAAAGCTGTTTAGCAGGGAATGAGCAAATCGTACTTTTCTCTTTCCCATCCAGAAATTTTATCTGCAGATGTTTTTTCGTTTTTGTTGCGGGGGGGTGTTTTTTTTTCTTAACCCATGACTTCAGCTTGACTTTAAACAGCTAAAGCTGTTGACTGGAGACACAGACATCATTATGCATTGATGTCCTGTAGTCCTAATGAAATTGCTTGCTTACCATATACATTTCATGTATTCTCTGAATTAGGTAACAAAATAAAGCTTTGAAGAGTTACCACATAAGGGATTTTCTGGACAGAGCAATTATTTTACAATCCTATTACCGTTGCTTAAGTTACATCAGTAATGTAACCAATTCAACACTGAACCTGTAACCAGTAGAAACAAACCAACAAAAGAAAACCCTTACAACACTAAAGAGAGAAGGTGGGCTTTAATTATCCTCACACTTCATTGCTATCTGTTGGAAAAGACAGATTTGTCACCTGCAAATATTGCCATAGATCCAAGTCCAGAAGGATTATGAATAAATACAAAAAATTTTGTACATCAGAACAGTCGTTACACAATTGTCTTAATATTTTTCCCTGAGGAGAAAATGTTAGAGACAAGGAGATGATAGGAGATACTTCCCATGTAACAACTTCTCTCGGTTAAGGAACGTTGCTAGCCTGTCATCCATGAGGAGCTGCTGAGGATCAACAAACTCATTCGGTCCTGGCCTACTTTTGATGAGCAGTGAGAAAGATGAAGCCAAAGTTCTGCTTCCAGATTACAGCTCTTCTAGTAACTCCAGCAACTGTTAGTAAAGTGGCTGAAG